CGAGCTGGAGGAGGACGCTCGGACGGAGGGAGGACAGCAGCTCGGGAAGCATTGAGGGACACAGAAGGTCTCCCCGGGGACTGCCGTCCCGCCTGGGAAGCCCGTGGCAGCTTGCCATGGAGGAGAAGGCATCCCGGAGCTGCCGTTTCAGGGGGGAAGTACCCTTCACGGAGCGCCAGTTTGAGGAGCCAAAAAGGAGGCAGGGGGGCGGTATCTCCGCCAGCGCTGTCCAGAGCTGACGTGCAGGACAGGGGTCCTTCCCTGCTCTCCTAAATCCCTGCCYGAATTACTTCCTTGCTCTTCCCTTCCCTGGACAAGGGCGCGCACCCTCCCCGGGCGGAGGCAGGAGAGGAGGCCCAGGGCCCGGGGACAGCCCCTTTCCTCGGGAGCCAAGGCCACCTCTCTCCTGCTGCCCTCACCAGGGCTTCGGACGGGTCTTTTCCAGGGGCAGGAGCAGCAGGGGCGGGTGTTGGACCTCCTGGCTCTGCCGCGGGACGGCGAGCTGCCCTTTGGCCACCGTGGTGCACGTGTCCTGCCCCACGGCACACGGCCTGGCCCCACAGCGAGGGGCAGGCAACGGTGGCAAAGGCTCTCCTGCGACCCACGGCGTCCGCCCCGCTCGCCCCACAAACGCCCCCCATGCCCACGTCCCCTCTCCCGGTGGCCCCCGCAGCCCGGCCTTGTCCCTGCGCTCACCGTGCCCGTGCCCAGCCGCGCCGGGAGCAGGAACTGAGCCGTGCTGCCGCAGGGCTGGTTTTATTAGCGCTGGACCTTGGGTGCTGCCCGGGCGGCAGCCAGGCCCCCACCCCTCCCGCCATCCTCTGCGCTGTCACCCCGAGACACCCGCCTGTCTTCCGCCTGTTTTCCGCCTGTTCTCCGCCTGTTCTCTGCCTGTGTCCCGCCTGTGTCCCGCCTGCGTCCCACCAGCCCTTCCCGCAGACACCCAGCGAGCACCGGCTCCAGCACGGGCAGCCCCCAGCACCCCCGGCAGGGCAGGGAGCTGAAAACTTTTTTTTTTTTTTTTTTTTCAGGAAAGACCTGTTTTCCCATTGCGTTTTCAGCTGTCCTGTTCAACCCGGCACCCCAAGGCCTGCGGCACCCAAGGCCCGAGCAAGGCCCACAGGAGCAGGTCCTCGCGTGAGCAGGAGCGCACTTAGGTGGCTCCGGGGATGCAGGGACGGGGCAAGAGAGGGGTGTGGGATGGCCACCCTTGGAGACACCCCAGAACACAAGCAGGCCCTGAACAACCTGCCCCCACGYGCTGCGGGCCGAGCTCTGGACTGGGATGCCCCAGTGCCTTGGCCAACTTCAACCATTCAGCGAGCGRTCACTGCTCTCCTGATGCATCCCCGCAGGATACATCAGTCCTGCACCACAGGGCACTCGTGGGTTCCGCTCTCGGGGTTTTATTGGGGACGCTGTGCCCACTCGGGGACACCGGGGCCGTGCTGTCAGCCCTCCAGACAGGGCTGGAGATGTCATCGTCCGGGCTTCATCCGGGCTCTGCATCCAGCGCTCCGGAACCCACCGTGCGGCGCTCGGAGGAGCCAGAAAGGAGAGACGGATCCCGCGGAGAAAAATGGAGCCAAGGAGTTGGGGGGAGCGGGGCTAAGTCTCCGAGTGCCCCCTCCACGCGGCACGTCCGTCTGCGTTCGTAAAGATCTCGTCGTAAGCCGGCGGGGGCGGCAGCACCACGGCGGGCGGAGGCACCACGTAGGGCCCGAACTCTGCAGCCTGCGGAGCGAGGACGCCCGTGAGCCCTTCCCCTCAGCCTGCCGCTTCCTGCCGGGCCAGACCCGTCCTCGCGTGCCGGTGGATGCCGCGCCACCCTGTGTGGCGCTTCCACAGGGATTTGGGGTGGCCCGTGCAAAGACGCATCCGTGTGGGGCCAGCTGAACCGCCCCGTGCCACCCTCCCTGGAGACCTTGTCCCTGTGGCATTGCCGGAGGCAGGAGCCCTTCCGCCTCCCCCCGGGCACGTGGCTGCGGCGGGATCACCTGGATGGAGGCGACCAGCTGCAGGTGCCACCCCAAGTAGGTGCTCGTGAGCGTGACGCAGGTCTCCAGCAGCGTGAACATCAGCAGGATGCCCAGGAGCGCCCTGGTGACGCGCTGGCGAGGAGAGCGCCGGGCTGAGGGCGAGCTGCCAGCCTCGCCTCGCTCCAGGGCCTCGCCAGGGCCTCACAGCGCCAGCCGGAGAGGCCAGGGAGCGGGTGACACCTTTCCCTCCTTGTGCATCTCTCAAAGCTCAGGGTAAGCCAAGCGCGTGGTAATGTCTTCAGGAAGCGGTGACATCCATAGCTGCCCTTGGCCCTCTCCGCGTCCCGACGTGGCCACGGGGGGCCCCGAGCCCCTCCTCGAGCCCGTGCTCACCAGCTCCAGCCGCAGCGCCGCCCCGTAGCTGAGCCCAGTGCAGACGCTGAGGTCCCAAAGCACGAGGACGATGCCCACCACTGTGGCGAGGGCACTGGTGACGTTGAGGGCCGTGCAGCCCCTCACCTGATGGGGACAGAGCCAGGCGGGCGCCCTCCTTGGAGCAGGCTCCCTCCGGCCCCTTCCRGAGCCACCACAGGCATTTTTGTCCGCGGCTCTTCTCCTCAACAGCGTTTCSTCACCCGCACAGCCCCCGTGTCTCCACTTACCAAGCAGATGCTCTGGTTCTTCTCCGCCAACATGGAGCAGGAGCCGGAGGAGATGAACTGTTGGGAGAGGGGGACACGGCCACGATGGAGAGGGCACTTCCCTGAGGCCGTGGGCACTTACCTGTCCCCTGAAGGGTTGGGGGGGGCTGGGGGCTTTGCCCTCCGCTGGGCATGGGCCTGGGCTTGTTGTGGGTGCCCCGGGACACCCAGAGCTTGTTGTGGGTGCCCCGGGACACCCAGAGCTTGCCGTGTGCCCTGCCTCCCGGGGCACCAGCCCTCCTCCTTGCTCCGGCCCACGGGCTCCTCACCAAGAGTCCCCCCCAGAAGAGGTACCAGGACTGCACGSTCAGCATCTCCACCGGCTCGCCCACGAAGGACACGAGGACGCCACCGGAGCCGACGTGCAGCAAGCCCAGGAGCACCTGGAGGCCCTGGCGAAGCGGAAGCGCGGGGC